GGCAGAGAGACATCTTCTGTCTCTCAGGGCTGAACACATCTCGGTCGACAACATCCAAGCTGACTGGCTGAGTCATGCCAAGGTCGAGTGGTGCCTTCATCCTTATCCAACAGGTTTGGTTCCCCAGTAGTATTCACCGCTCCCCAGAATGTGCAAGTAGACAGATTCTTCACCAGGTTTCCTACCCAGGAAGCGGAGGGGACCAATGCACTTTGGAGCAGATGGCCTCCAGGTCCCCTCTATGCCTTCCCCCCTCTTCCGATCATTCCGGCTGTTCTTCGGAAGATGTTGGAGGAAAAGGTGGATCTGGTTCTTCTGGCGCCTCATTGTTCCAGGCAGCCCTGGTTAGCCGACCTGGTAAACTTGTTGATCGCTCGACCATGGAGAATCCCACCCAGCAGGATTTCCCTCAACCAAGGGGCCTTACTCCACCTGGAACCCCAGCGGTTCCAGTGGCCATATGGTACTTGAGTAGAAATCTCTGAAAAAGACTAACTTACCCGATAAGGTGATAAAAACCATCCAGGCATCACATAAACCATCAACCAATCGCATCTATGATGCCACCTGGAGAGCCTTTTGCTGTTGGTGCTCTAGGGCTATCCTAACCCTTCATCAGCCACAGTCTCAGATGTGCTGGTGTTCCTACAGGAAGGTCTAGATAAAGGGCTCTTGCCAAACACTTTCTGCAGACAGGTTGCGGCCTTGTCCTCAATATTGTCATGGATAATTATAACTCTCTATCTCAGCACCCATCAATATGTAGTTTTTTTAGGGGAACCTCAAACCTGCATCCCCTGGTAGTTCATAGATATCCCACTTGAGATCTCCCAAAAGTACTCCAGGCCCTGACGGGACCCCCGTTCAAACCTTTAAGGTCGATAGGTCTCCATTTCTTGACCCTCAAAGTGTCCTTCCTGGTGGCTATCACATTGGCCAGAAGGGTGCTGGAGTTGGCAGCTCTCTCAGTGTGGCAGGACTTGTGCATTTTTCATGAGAACAGAGTAGTGCTATTTTGTTCCAAAGATTAATTCTTGGTTCCACAGGGCACAAGAACTAGTCCTACTGGACTTCTTCCCTAAGCCTCAACATGAGTTGGAACACAAGTGGCATATACTGGATGTGTGGGGAGCTCTCTGTATATATGTAAAATGAACTGCAACCTTTTGCAAGATGGAAGCGATGTTTGTGTCCTTCCACCAGCTTCCTTAGGGAGCAAGGCTTCCCCATCCATGATGGGCAGATGGATCGGGGCTTGTATTTCCACTGCATACGAGACTTTATCTCTCCTGGTACCCAAGAAGCTTACAGCTCACTCTACTAAGAGTACAGCCATGTCGGCAGCCTGGGCTACTCAGGTGTCCATTGAGGAGATCTGCAGGGCAGCTACCTGGGCATTGCCTTCTCCATTTATTCGGCACTATCGACTGGACTTCTTAGCCTCTGCAGAAGCAGCATTTGGCAGGAGAGTGCTTCAGAAGGTTCTTCCAGTGTCGGACTGAGCAGACCAGACATAGAACCTTCCTTGGACATTCAGGCTTTGGTATGTCCCTATCCTGGACTCCCGTAGCAGCATGAAGGAGAATCGGCATTGGTATATTTACCTGAGACGTCCTTTCTATACATACTGTGAGAGAGTCCAGCCCCACCCTGTATTCGTCTGGTCATGGTTGGGGAGGGATCCTCTCACTGTTTTATTTTTAGAGACACGCCAAGTCTGTCAAGTTTCTTCGCTGAAAAACTGGGGGCCAGCAGCAGGGGCTGGCTTTTATAACTTTGGCAGACTCAGCTCGATGACATAGGAGGAGGAGTCTAACCCTATCCTATCCTGGACTCTCTTGCAGAGCGTGTATAGAAAAGGCCTCTCAGGTAAATATACCAATGCCCATTTCCCTCCTTTTTTCATGCATCATATATCTAAAATTGCTTTTCTGATAGTTTAAAATAGAGGTTATTTCCATTCCTCAGAATCATGCCTCATTGTTTATTCTTTCTTTGGAGGAGGGGAGGGAAATTTAAAGACATACAATTCAGATTAGAATTGTAAGTGGTTTCTATTGTATTTGATTTCTATAGAAAGTGTAACCCTTTCTATAACACAATTAACCACTTAATTGGAAGTGGTTGCTGTTTATTGTATTTGACTTCTGTAGAAAGTGTAACCCTTTCTATAACACAAAGGATAATTTGTTCTGGTTTGCAGAATATTTAACCATTATTGTTTCAAGTGACTATCAGTGTCATTTTTCTCAGCTTCAATAGTTTTCTTAATTTTTAATATGTTTTTACAAATTAGAGTTGTCTTGATTACTATGATAAGGGCCAGCATTAATAGAAATACCACTTAGACTTATATACCACTTCACAGTGTTTTTTTACAGCCCTCTCTAAGCGGTCTACAGAGTCAGCCTATTGCCCCTAACAATCTGGCTCCTCATTTTACCTGACCTCAGAAGGATGGAACGCTAAGTCAACCTTGAGCCTGGTGAGATTCAATCTGCCAAATTGCAGGCAGTAGAAGTAGCCTGCAGTACTGCATTCTAACCACTGCACCACCGCAGCTCTTATTAAGTTATATTTGTAGGGATAAATGACAAATACTATGTCCATTGGAACATAAAACTGTTGGAAACAGTCTTTGTAGGAAATCCTTCTTCATTTCTCCCAATGTTCCTAGTATGAATAGCTGACATTGATCCTGTGAGATGGGTCTTAATTTATAGAAAACAGGACATAGATTCTGTTAACAGAAATGTCCAAAGAAAGATTAAATATATTATGGTATTTATTACTAATTATAAGGCTTCTTTCTTCTGAAAACAACATGCTGTGTGAGATACCTTCTAAAGATCTGAGTAAAAATAATCTTGTTTTTACTAGCAGTATATTAGAATGCACCCTCTTGTGGTGAGGAGATGCAGAACAATTTATTCTTAGTCACTGTTTCTCAGTATCTGTGTTTTAATTGGAAGGGGTTGCTGTTTATTGTGTTTGATAAAAATCTGAATGCCTATTAAATCCTGCGGCTATATTTCTTTCATTTACATATATAAAAGTATGTTAATTACTATTCGTTACTTCAAATTAGTAATAAACTTTTAAATACTCTATATTAATGCTGTACTTCAAGAAGTGATAGCATTTACTCAGTATTGGCTAATTTGATAAACTAAGCAGGGAATACCAATGTCATTGGCAAGACTGGCAAATTGGAAAAAAGATCCTAGAAAAAGGCAATGACAGACTGAATCCTTAACAGCAAAACTTCAAGATTGCAGTTGAGATTCAAGTTCATATTGAGGATAATTTATTTTTATGCTGTTATTAGGGTGTGTGTGTGTGTGTGTGTGTGTGTGTGTATTGAATAAAATGGCATTAAAATTTGAAACCTGTGTAATATCATTTTTACGATGCAATTAAAAGCTAAAAACAAGAGAGCCAAAAGCAAGCAATGAGGAATTCCAGTCCTCAGTTTTTATATATTAAATGTAAATGAAAATATGTTGTTTTCAAACTCATAGCATTAGTTATAGATGTATGTGAGAGCGAGCGAGACAGAGAGATGGGAGTTTCATTTCAAATGATGGTACGATTTTTGTGCTATTTAAGCTTCTTAGTCCAATGTTTCCCAAATAAGATGTGTGGATGTCAACTCCCAGAATTCCCCAGCCAGTCATGCTGGCTGATAAACCCTGTCCTACTGAAACTTGAATATCAGTGAAATGGGTTTTGGATGCAATACAGTAGTCCTCAACTTATAATCATTCAAAGTTACAGTGACTGAAAAAAGTAACCAGTCTTCATGCTTACAATGTTTGTGGCATCTTCATGGTCACATGATCAAAATAGGCACTGGGCATCCTGGCAACTGGGATGCATTTATGATAGTTGGTGCTTCCCAGGTCATGTGATTGCTATTTACAATCTTCCTAACCAGCTTCTGATAAGCAAAGTCAATGGGGGAAGCCAGATTTGCTTAACAACCTCGTGATTCACGTAACTGCTTTGATTCACTGAACATCTGTGGTAAAAAGATAGTAAAATCAGGTGTGATTCACTTAACATCTGCCTTGCTTAACAATGGAAATTCTGGTCTCAATTGTGGACATAAGAGGACTCTCACTTGACCTGGATTACAAATTAGGGGTCCTTGGTGGCCCTTATTTCAACCCTGAGCTACAAATATTCTCCTTTATTGGATTAAGAATATGTGGTACAAATTCCTACAGAATACATTCCATGGTTTTAGGAAGACAATATTCAAGCATAAGGTTCTCCTATTCTGTTCAATAGTGTAGCTCCTTCAGGCTGGAACTTAAAGGTGCTAATCAGTTCAGAGTACAGGTAGTCCTTGACTTACAACAGTTCATTTAGTGACCATTTGAAGTTTCAACAGCCCTGAAAAAAGTGATTTATGACCATTTTTCACATTTACAACTGTTGCAGCATCCTCGTGGTCTTGTGATTTGTGTTCGGATGCTTGACAACTGACTCACATTTATAATGGTTGCAGCATCCTGGTGTCATGTGACCTTCTCACAAGAAAACTCAATTGGGAAACCAGATTCCACTTAACAACTGTGTTACTAATTTAACAATGGTAGTGATTCACTTAACAAATGTGGTAAGAAAAGTCGTAAAATAGTACAAAACTCACTTAACAAATATCTCACTTAGCAACATAAATTTTGGGCTCAATTGTGATCGTAAGTTGAGGACTACTTTGTGGCAAAAATGTAGCCTCTTTAGTGTTGTCAGAAGCTGTTATCTGCTTTTATTAAAGAGTAAAAAAACTGCCAAAAATCATTAATGCACTTGTTAATCATATAGTGTCATATAAATTGTTACTATCTAAGAATAATTTTCCAGAATCTTTTGTAGAATGAATTATAATCTGTAAATTATTGAAAAAGCATTCTATTTTAATCACTGCATCTCATCTCTTGTAACTGGCTGATTTTTGTAGTAGAAATATGAACATTCTTCTTTGCCATTTCAAGGTTTCTTGCAATATATTCCGAACACTTCCTCCAAGTGATAGCAATGAGTTTGATCCAGAAGAAGATGAACCCACTCTTGAAGCATCATGGCCACATTTACAGGTGATTGTATTTAGCACAGTCTTCAAGCAGCCCCAAATGCCTGCTGAAAAGCCATGCTTTCATAGCTCTCAAAACTATAATAGGGAGGGATAGACTATTGCAGAGGTTGGGGGAACATCGATGGGATGTTTGAAACAAACCAAAAGCAACACTGGATAGTGCACAACAAATGAGTAAAACCATAGATACACACAAAAAACCCCACGTTTACAGTAAATATTACAATAACAGAGGTTTTACAAACCTCTTTAAGTAAAGAGAGAATAAAAATAGCTGGCATTTGAGCCATCTAAACATGTCTCCGGGACCCTGGGAACGCTAGGCCTGATAACCTAACCAGATCTTAAGGGCTTTCCAGAATATCAAAAAAATATCTAATTTTGGGGGAAGAATCATGGTCTCTGAGGTGGGCATCTGGGCAGAGAATGCACATTTTCTGGGACCCACCAGATGTTGGCCCTTAGCTGATGGCACCCAGAGCATGCCTCCTCTGACAGATCTAATGAAATGGTCAAAGTAAGTAGGGAGGGCAGGCCACTCAAATAGCATGGTCCTATTTCTTTTATTCTTCAGACTTTAAAGAAAGAAAATATAGATATAAGTGATCTTCAGGTGGAACGAGACATCTCTCTTGCTGTGGTGTATAATACTCTTGAACATTTTCTGATTACTATTATATGACTCCAAACAGTTTAATTAATTCTCTTCATTGTTGTAATTGTTTTGTTTTATGTGATTTCAAAAGTCTACAGGACAGAATATGCTGTTGATTACTCCTGGGTAATTTGACAATTCAGTGAACAAGTATACAGGTGGAGAGTGTCTCCTCTTAGCATGAGTTCTTCTGATGATAGTTAAATAGGAATTAATGAGCACTAGATTTGAGTCACAAAGATTCATGTGAACACATGGAAGTAGGACACTGTTTAGATTTATATTTTTTTTAAAAAATTGGATTGAACAGAAGTGTCATCAACAGAAACTATGTACATGGTGAACATTTAGGGCTTTTGTATATGGGTGGGGCAGCAAATGGCCAGCTGAAATGATCAAAATATATCTTTATGTTAAATTACGTTCTCTTAGCAAAAATTACAAAGCAATAACAATATGTGCAATTACAGAATGCATTTAATCTGGACTAACCTGTGTTGTTATTTTTTGCAGCTTGTATATGAATTTTTCATACGATTTTTGGAAAGCCAAGAATTTCAGCCCAGCATTGCCAAAAAGTATATAGATCAAAAATTTGTATTACAGGTACAGAGCTCTATTTTATTTAGTCTTATTGTATTAATAAATATACTAGCCTTTGTTAATCAAGATGAATAGTAATTTTTAGTTACTTGTGCTCATTCAGTTCTGGGGATATTTTGTATGAATGTTTAATATTGGAGAATTACGGCTAAGTTCAAGAAATAGCAAATGCCACCACTAAGAATTTTATACAAGAGTTTGCCAGAATCCACTAATTGAAATATTTCTTGCCTCATATGAATATACCCTAAGACCTGCAGGAAAACTGCATTGACTCTCTTCTGCTATCACTTGCTAATAAAGAAACAGATGGCAAGAATTAGGCAGAAAGATTAAAAATAATGATGTGATGTGATTTTGGAACATAGTAAACAGAAAGAAAAGTGCAGGTATTTGGATAGAATAAAGCATTTCAGCGATATTAAAAGCGGAAAGTCAAGTAGCATCTATAATCTGTTGTGTTTTTCTTTATTTTATTAGCTTTTGGAGCTATTTGACAGTGAAGATCCTCGGGAACGGGACTATTTAAAAACAGTCTTACACAGAATTTATGGCAAGTTCCTTGGTCTTAGAGCATTTATCAGAAAACAGATTAATAATATTTTTTTACGGTAAGTTTTAAGAAAATAGGGGCACAAGAAACTTTTGGGTTTTGCATGATAGTGTCACTGAATAAATATGAACATTTAATGTATGCAATTTGCTTTGCAGGTTTGTTTATGAAACTGAACACTTCAATGGTGTGGCTGAACTGCTGGAAATATTAGGAAGGTAATGAAGTCCCATTCTTATAACTAAGGATGTAAATATAATAATATGTAAATATACTGAGTTTATAAATTAAAGCTATGTTTATTTATTAATACATTAGCAAATGCTTACTTCATTAAAAGTAATATAAAAATTAAATTTAGATGCCAGATCACACAATTACATTTCCATTATATCCTGACATTCATTCATTCATTCATTCATTCGACAAGAAAATGAATGACCAAAGCTTGTTTCCAGGATTTAACCTAATTTGATTTGAATTAAATTTATTTAACTTGATATACTGTCTAGTACCAAAGTCCCTTGGTATTTTACAAGAAATATAAAACAACACTGATGCATTAAAAATAGTTAAAATGGCAATTAAAACAAATGAAAGAAGTAAAATAATTAAAATCAGTCAAAGCCTTTACAAAAATCTATGGAGTTCTTAATGCTCTCTGAGCTTGGTTGTTTTCTTGAAGATGTTTCATTACCAAACTAGGTAACATCATCAAAATATGTTTTCAGGGCCTTTCTAAAAACTAATAAAATTAGTTTTTTTTAAAATAACTTCCATTGTACTCTTTTTGAATTCCCAAAGAAAAAGTGGAATATAAATAATGGATAATAATGATCTGCTACTTAACTATTGGAACTACCACATCCAGTATCCAGACTTAACAATTGTCAATAAGAAAGACAAAAAAGTCTGAATATTGGACATGGTAGTCCCAGGAGGCAGCAATAGAAGAGAAAGAACGGAAGAAAGTCACAAAATACAGAGATCTGCAAATAGAAATAGAATGGCCATGGCAAATGAAAGCAAAGGTGATACTAATAGTATTAGGCACCTTGAGTGCAATCCCAAAACAACTGAAGCACCACTTGAACAACATCTGCATTGACGAAATCAGCATCAATCAATTGCAAAAGGCATATTTGCTTGGAACAGTTTACACTGTCTGCATAATTATTAGGCAAGTTGTATTTTGGAGGATTAATTTTATTATTGAACAACTACAGTGCTTTCAGTCAAACCAAAATGTTAATAATCCTCAAACCTGAATATTTCAGAAAGTAAAAATGATATATTAGCTTTCTTAAGAGAATATATATGCAAAATTATTGGGTGGCTATTAGTGTGCAGAATTATTATGCAACTAAATGCAAAATGAAAATTTGCCCATTTCACTAGTTTATTTGCACCTGTTAAAGTGAGAATAATAAACAACTCAAAATGTACAAACATTTCTGACAGTTTTCAAAAAAAAAAAAGCCACCCTTCTTTTCAATAACAGTCATAAGCCTAGGTCTGTTGACAATCAACATTTTGTATAGCAGCAACCACAGCTTCCACAGCCCTGTTCAGAAAGGTTACTGTTTCCTTCACTATAAATCTCCTGTTTAAGAAGGGCCCACAAGTTCTCAATAGGGCAGTGATGGCTAACCTTTTTTTCGTCGCGTGCTGAAAGTGTGCGCTTATGCGCATGAGAGCACGCACGCCCCCTGTACTTGCAATGCACGCGTGACCCCCGCCCCCTGGCATGTGCTCCCCAGCCCCTGTGCATGCACACACGTCTCCCGCATGCACCCCGCCCCCCAGGCATCTGCAATAGATACCTGAAAATTAGCTGGCTGGCAGGAGGTATGCACGCATGCGCAGTGAAACTGAGCTGGGGCGATGGCTCGAGTGCCCACAGAGATGGCTCTGCATGCCACTCCCGGCACGCATGCCATAGGTTCGCCATCATGGCAGTAGGGTTGTCAGGTGAAGAAGGGAGCCATGTCATTATTCATTCATCTTTAAAGCCTTTACTAGCTAGCCACGCAGTGGAGTACTTTGAGGCATGCGATGGAGCCTTGTCCTGCATAAAAACCATGGTCTTTTTGAAAGATGCAGACTTTTTGCTTGAAGAAAGTGTCTTTTAAAAAATTGGCAGTAGGTTTGGGAGTTGATGTTGAATCGCTCTTCAACCCAAAAAGGTCCAACTAGTTCATCTTCAATAATACCAGCCCATACCAATACCCCACCTCCACTTTACTGGTGTCTGAGTCGAAGTGGAGATCTTCTCATTACTGATCCAACTACGGGCCCATCCATCTGGTCCTCCAAGAGTCACTCTCATCTCATCAGTCCATAAAATCTTTGAAAAAGCTGTCTTCAGATATTACTTGGCTCAGTCTTGCCATTTCAACTTATGTGTCTTGTTCAGTGGTGGTCGGGTTTCTGCCTTCCCTACCTTGGCCATATCTCTGAGCATTGAACACCTTGTACTTCTGGGCACTGCAGGTAGGTTGCAATTCTGGAATATGACAGCACTGGAGGATAAAGGGTTCCTGGTAGCTCCATGTTTGATTCTTCTCAAATCTTTGGCAGTTAAGGTGTGTCTTCTTTTCTTAACGCGTCTCTTGTGACCCTGTTGACTATTTGCAACAAAATGCTTGATGGTTCTGTGATCGTGCCCCAATATTTTATCAATTTCAAGAGTACTGCATCCCTCTAAAAGACTTTTTACAATGTTTGACTTTTCAGAGTCAGTTAAATCTCTTTTTGGCCCATTTTGCCTGAGGCAAAGAAGCTGCCTAATAATTATGCAGATAATTAATATAGGGTATTGATCTCCTTAAGCCATACCCTCCCTCATTATACAAATACACATCACCTGATATGCGTGGATACTAAGCATTCAATTTAATACAGTTTGGAGGTTGAATATATGCATAAAAATGATGATAAGGTGAAAATACTCTCTTTCCTAATAATTGTGCACACGTGTACATCCTGCTTATGGTACCTTTAACACCATCAAATATCCACACCTGCCAATTCAAGGTCCTTGGGAAGGAATCAATAGAGGGACAAAAATTCTAAATCCCATCTAAACTTCTGGCTGATTGTGTGATGAACCATAATAGTAAGAGAAAAGTCTCTATGCTTATTTAGTTATTTATCAGTATTTATAGACTGATCTGTTCTAGCAAATGGGCAAAGTACATAAGCTAACAGTACAGAATGTCTCAGGAATTAAAGCAGTCAAAACAACAAATCAGTCAGTCATCATCATTACCAAAGTAGAATTATATGCACTACTTTACATGTGGTGAGCTTTCCAGAGTTTAATCCTGTGTAAAAGTGATCAGTGATTATGAATGTGCAGTATTTTGATAACATATCCATCACATTTTCTAAATTCAGAGTGTTTTCTCAAACCTACATAGCTTCTATGCAGTTTCATGAAAACATATGTCTCTTTAAGGAGTTGCTTACAGCTGCAGAAAGAGCACTTGTGCCAGATCAGAAGTAGTTTTTCTCATTTCAGATTTCAGTATATTGTACATTGAATACATTATAAGTAAAATATAGGACAAGGTCCAGGGAGATCTGGGTTCAAGTCCACAGTGACTGGGTTTAGACCAGTTGCATTCAACCTACTTCACAGGGTTTTTGTGGTGGGAATAAAATGAAGATGGAGTTCAATAAGTTTGGAGGAAAAGCAAATTATAGATCATATAACAATAAATAAATAAAATTTTTCTCCTTTTCTTATTTCTAGTATTATCAATGGCTTTGCTTTACCTCTTAAAGCAGAGCATAAACAGTTTTTGGTGAAAGTATTGATCCCTCTACATACTGTTAGAAGTCTATCGCTGTTCCATGCACAGGTAGAAATTTAAGTACTATGTTATGTATTACATTTTTGTAAGAACTGTGTCACATTCTGTTCCATATACAATGTACTATATTATTAAGTTAAAACATATTTACTACCATGCATAAAGAAGCACAGGCTGGTCCACAAATTGTTCTAACCCATTCACTGTTGTAAACTAGGTTTATTGAATAGGCCACATTTGACTGGATTCTTTTAGTACTTTAAGCTATAAAACATGTCACAATAACTGGATTTTCCCAATTTGCTAAGCCCAAATCAAAGAAACCACTGCTTTCTGGGAATCTAGTTATATAGTAGATCAGAAGATGAAACTGATTTGAGATGTGAGTTGTTAGTGGAACTAAGTCCATTTTATTATCACTCTTTATTTAGGAACTCTCATTCCCAATTTTCAAATAAAGATCTTTGTCATGTTTGGTATTTGAAACTATTGACTTCATTATATTGTACAATCTGTAGATTCTTCAGTATCTCAGTAGAATCCCTCAAACAATTGCTGTTAATGTTTTATTTCTAATAAAGCTGGGGGTCTATATATTTTAAAATGTATGAGAAGAAATTAATATTTAGTAATTAAAATGTAGGTTTTAGCCTGGCTTCAATCATTTTTGTATTCAGTTTTCAACTTCTGTTTGGAGTGAGCCTCCCATTACATTACTTAAAGGATAAATGCAGCCTTCCATCTTAATCTGATATTTAAAAATGCCCCCTATGTAATCTAGAGCTGTGGTTCTTAAACTTTCAAGGTCACAGCAAGCATTTTTAAATGTTATTTTTAATACTTGTAATTTTTTCTTTAAAACTGAAGGAAAAAGAAGAATATTGAAACAACAAATTTTAATAATATATTTTACAATAAAAATAGTTTAAATGTCTTAATACAGAATATCAGTAGCAACCACCTGCCATACATTGTCAGGTCTTGATTTTGAGTCTGGTTACTTCTTGGATAAGAAGCCATGAGGAAACACTAAAATTATAGGCTAGACTGGGAAGTCAAAAGACATCCTGGGCAAAGCAAGAGGTAAACTGCTTAACTATTATTGCCAAGAAAGCAGCATGGATAGGTTAGTAGAGCCAGTAGGAGTCAAACTTGACTTGAAGGTGTCTTTATCTTAAAACTGAATCTTTTTTCACATCCAAGTCTTTGAAAGTCTGTGCTTTAAAGCTATAAAGCAAGTATTAAAAAATGGCAAATGCCAAATTACCAGAGTAAATTGATAGCATTTAAACTCAGAAGCTAAATTTTTTAGAAAGCTAAAGATGAGGTTTACTTCAACCTACAGCTCATCTTTTTACCTGGTATTGTGTGCTCAATATCCATTTCATAGAAAACAAATTGATGTGGTTCAGAGCCATCTAAAGTGATCAAATTGTGACAGAGATTGCACCTGCATTGATAAGTGCTAAGAAAGTTATAGGAAAAAAAAGTTTGGTCTGATTAGATTTTACTAAGACTTTTTAAAACATTGTTTAATGTTGCACTGAGAGGTATGTTGGCGCAGTGGTTAGAATGCAGTATTGCAGGCTACTTCTGCTGACAGCCGGCTGCCTGCAATTTGGCAGATTGAATCTCATCAGGCTCAAGGTTGACTCAACCTTCCCTCCTTCCAAGGTGGGTAAAATGAGGACCCACATTGTTGGGGGCAATATGCTGACTCTGTAAACTGCTCAGAGAAGGCTGTAAAAAGAATTGTAAAGTGGTATATAATACTAAGTGCTATTGCTATTGCTACATCTAACAGAAAGATGGATGATGTTTTGGTAACTATGCTACAATGAATGATATTGCGTAGATTTAAGCCACATCAATATGATTGAAATTCAGGGCTGGGTAGGTTCCCTTAATTTTTGAAGAGTTAAACCATTTTATTCTTCTGATGCATTTATTCTACCTTAAAGTCATGGAAAACTGTTACCGATTTACAGTAATCATACCACTAATATTCAACAGCTTGTTTGAAAGATGCTCTGAGGCTACAAAAGAAAGACTTTGAATCTTTATACATCTTGGGGAGTCAGAAGCCCTCCCTTCCCCCTACAAATTAGCACATTTGGATGACAACAAAAATGGAATGGGTTCTGTCACCAAAAATAAAATAGGTTCTGGATCAAACAGCTATCTATCTGTATCTGTGTCTGTTTGCTAGTAGCTGCCGTCTTTCTTTCAAAATAGGAAATTCAGGTTTTTATATGTCCCCATATTTGATTGGGGAAAAGCAAATAGTCATAATAATCGATCGGTACTTATGATTTTTTTTCCTTTCTTAATTTACTTCTTGGTGAATTTCATGTCAGTTGAAAGTTGTATCTGAAATGGAATTATAGAAAATAAGAGGAATGCTTTATGTTTTAAAAACAACCCCTTCTATCCAGTGAGGAGACTGGATACTGCTAAAAAAGCTTGTTTCTGATGTTATACAATTAACTACTTGTGTCAGATGTGATTATGATGGGCAAAATATCCAGCATGAATTTTGATTGGTTCCTGTACTTTATGTTATATAATAGTCTTCTTTTCTTAAACTGATAATAATTGTTACCATACTGCATGTCTAACCTTTTCCTCAATCATTAAAAGCATTGTTTGGTAAACTTTTTGTCTAACGTTCCTGCAGATGTAGCCTTGCTAGCTTTTTATATATCTATTTTCTACAAAGCCACTAACTCATCTCACAAGTTCTCAGAAGGTGCTTAATGCAGCCAAAAATGTAAAGGAAAAATATCTTAAAGACAAATTGTTTAGTAATGAATTGTAAATGTTATTAAATTCACATTTATATGGATGCACACTGGCACACAAGTACTGCTTGACTTATGACCACAATTGAGCCCAACATTTCATTGCTAAGCAAGTTAATTTTACTACCTTTCTTGCCAACTAAATCACTGCAGTTGTTATCAACACAGTTGTTAAGTGAATTTGGCTTCCCCATTGACTTTGTTTGCAAAAGATGAACACATGACCCTGGGGCACTGCAACCTCTGTAAATGTATGCCACTTGTCAAGCCTCCGAATTTTGAAGTTTGATCATGTTGCCATGGGCATGAGTCACTTTTTTCAGTGCCATTGTAACTTTAAGCGGTCACTAAATGCATGGTGGTAAGTCAAGGACTACTAGAAATGTCTTTTTATTACTGTTTAAATCAGAGGTGGGGAACGATGGCTGACTCAGGAATTCTGGCAGTTGGAAGTCCACAAGTCATAAAAGGGCCATCTTTCCTCACCCCTGATTTAAATTATACATCAGTCATCATGATTGGTATTATCTGGACAACCTGTACTGTGGAATGTGATTTAGAACAAATGTGTTGCACTCTTGCTTGCAGCAGCAGAAGAGTATGGCTTGTAGTGAAATAGGACCTATATCCCAAACAGCCCACTTACAGACAGACAAGGCAATGCAGGAAGATGGGAATCCCCAAGCTGTCCTTTTATATTACACTTCATGCATTGCTCCTTGTTCTGTTTTAAAGGAATCCCCAGACTATAGGTGCAAAAAGTAGAATGAAAGAACCAAGAAATACTAATGGACATTCTATCCTTACTAGTTATGATTCAAACTATGCATCAAGTTTAGTCACTTAACAACTATTTTTCTTTTCCTTTTAATTAAAGATTTTAATGTTCATGTTTTCTTTTGTTTCTGCAGCTGGCGTATTGCATTGTGCAGTTTCTAGAGAAAGACCCTTCACTCACAGAACCTGTAAATATAAGAAATACATGCACAGATGAACATTTTAAAATATTGAATAAAAATTTTGTGAACTGGTATATTATTATTTCTAATTGGTCTGTTTACTTTTTCTGCTTTAATTTAGGTCATTAGAGGTTTAATGAAATTCTGGCCGAAAACTTGCAGTCAAAAAGAGGTATATTTGATGAGCTTAGATTGTTTTCTTATTTAAAATAGATTACTAATAAAAAGGGTAATCTTGGGACAGAAATAAATTGTATTTCAATACAGTGAATATAATTCCTAAGAGGAACTTAAAGACATGATTGTCCATAGCAAATGGAACTTTTGTCAAAGTAACAAAATCTGCATTGCCCCTTATTTATTTGCATGCAAGTTCCTGACCACTAATCCCTAAGGAGTATATTTTGTATTGTAATGTCATAATGAATGTTTTTTCATTTGCTGTCATCCTCACTCCAGTGTAGATTTTTGACATAAACAATATTATTAGGCTCCATATTGTGGTAGGAATAAAGCAATACTTTCTTAATGCTGTCTGGAAATGTAAAAGGATGTTCTTAAAAATAATATTTAAACTCTTATTTTTAATATTAGGTGCCAATCTGAAATATAAAACAGTAAACAACGTTGAAACAAGCTTTAAATGATATGAATTAAAAATGCACTTACAGTATTTCTTAAGAAACAGTCCAATAATTGCAGCTAGTATTAGCAAATGAACATTACTTTTGTTCATAAAATTCAGTTGAAGTGATGCTTCTTTGGAAATTTAATAGATAAGTTCTAAGGAAAATATATTTATATTTAATATTTTTTTAAAAAAATATTTTAGGTCATGTTCCTTGGAGAGCTGGAAGAAATATTGGATGTGATTGAACCTTCACAGTTTGTCAAAATTCAGGAACCCTTATTTAAACAATTAGCTAAATGTGTCTCTAGCCCTCATTTTCAGGTCAGTATTGCAACTAGATGAGACTAATTATTATAAATGTGTTATGTCTGCAAGATTAGGTTCAGACTGGAGTTTGGGAAATGGCTTAAATTCACTATGGAGTCTGATTGGAATTGACATACTCATTAGATCTAATTCTTCTTCAGAATCCCATTTATATGATTACTGTTATTACAAATTAAATATGAGGAGATGACTGGACAAATTTCAGTCAGATAGATATAAATGGCTTTGTGTGATATTACACTAATAATAATTGCTGATATTAGCATTATAACTGCTATTATTTTTTAAAGGAAAATAATGTTTATTCACTGGGAAAATATAATGAAATTGGCAATATTTGTTCCTTTTAGATGAATAGGTTCAGGATTTTTGTTTCTTGATTTTATCATGCAAAACTTTCATAGTTTGTGAAAAGCAAGTTCTACATATTCATCTACCACTCACACCTTTTCTTTCTAGTAGGAGATTGTTATGAAAGAAACAGTATTGGATCCATTCTAATAAAATTCTTATAGATTACTGAAAAATAAATGGAGATAGGTATAAAAAAGTTTGTTTTTAATTGCTCAGTTAGCATGGAAAACATAGAAAAATTAATAGAATAGAGAAGAGTGATAGGTAGAAAATGTATATACGATTGTGAAAGATGCATGATTTACTAAGTGTAGTGGACTCTTTGTCCCTCATCTTTCTGTCAATAGACTCTATCGGATGTAATTTAATATTTCAGGTTCCCAAAGAGAGGAAATAATTAAGAGCATTTAATTGGAGATATATAAAATTAGAGGATGTAATGTTTTGATGTTCTGTGGAACATTCCATTTTTCCTCTGGTATATACCAGTCCAACCAATCTCAGGGGTAGTTCGATAGTTTCTTAAAAGTCAATAATCTGGAATAGGAAATAACTTATGATATTTCAGTTGTGGTTATGAGAACTCTGTCATTGCCTCACATCCCCTTCCCAGTTAGTAAATTTGACGGGAGGTTGCTTTACTTTTCTCCTCCTGCCAACACAGAAGTATTTGTAGGGGTGGGGTCAACACTGGCAAAATGGTAGATGTAGTATTGTAATACAATCTGAAGGACCATACAATTATGGCCCAGTATGCACTCACACATGCATGTGTATCAAATATCTCTGCCTGTGTTGATAAAATTTTGTCAGATTTCTGAGGGAGACAACTAAGAAAATCTACATAAGTAAATTCCTGTTTTTGTCAATTGAGGGGCAAGTTTTTTTACTTGCTTTTGTTTGTAATTTGACATAAGCAGTTTTGAAAATAATTCTCTCTTTTTTATTTCAAGGTGGCTGAAAGAGCACTTTACTATTGGAATAATGAATACATAATGAGTTTGATAGAGGAGAATTCCAATGTAATACTTCCTATCATGTTTTCCAGTCTATACAGGATTTCTAAAGAACACTGGAATCCGTAAGTTGTTGTGGTTGCTGTTAGTGCTGATTTTTCAGTACATTTGTTTATTTGTTTGAATTCAGTGCTATATTTTGTATTGTAATATGGAGAACTATATATGAATGGTGGTAATGTTATCAGTAGTTTACTATACTTACTTAGTATTTTGCATACCAGCACCAACTAGGGAAATGTAGAGCATAATATTATTTCAATCATCTGACAACGAATAAAGTGTCCCTTTGCTATTTGAAAATGCATATTTTTTTGGATGGAACCTGATTAGGTTTACTTTTACAAAAATCTTCACAGTGCTTTTCATAAGGTGTTGTTTTATTCAGTATGCTCTGCAGCAAAAATGACTTTGAGGAACTAAATAAGAAATGTTTAAGTGAAAGAAAACTTGTGAAGAAAAACGTGAAACTAAAGTTTCAAAATAGTGCTCACCTGTGTTTAGGTATGAGACTAATAAGATCAGTATTTTTAATTTTATAATAAAGATCTTTTTTCTGAGATTCCATATTTTTAAAGAATATAGTGTGGGAAATACAATTTTAAATGTAAGGTGTTTTTTTCTTCCTCTTGTGCCTTTCTAGTAACTATTTTATCTTCTTTCTGTTTTTCTAATTTGTACCTGTACCTAAAATATAGGTCTAAATTTCCTTTTCTAGAATTGCAGACAATTAGCATGGGTTCCTAATAGATTTGGGGACATAAAGAAAGGCAATATATCAAAACAAAGTAATTGTCTTTTATGCCTAGTTCAGTGGTCGCCAACCGGTGGGCTGTGGCCCACTGGTGGTCCATGAAAAATTTTTGGTGGTCCACAGAGAAATGTCACTCCTAGAGCACCCCCAAAGCAATTAATTCAGGCTATGCAGGAACACAAGGCTGCACCGCCCACATGGTCTGCAGGAACCCTCCCCACCCACTCACTCATTACCTGGCAAACTTGCTTGCAAGTTGCTATTTTTCCTTTTCTTTTTCCCGACCATCAGCTGTTCTGCTGTGCTGGGAGATTTAGATGAGCTAGAAAACAGGAAACCATTGGATTTCTTGCTTTCTAGCTAATCTTTAGATCTTCGGCTCAGAGCCGAACCTCCCTTAGGACTGAAGCATCTATTATTCAGTGCAGACTCAGGTAGCCGATGGTAGAAAGATAGATCTCTGAGTGAATCTGATTCTGTGAGCGACTCAATCTGCCTGCCTACTTTGCCAGCTTTCGGGTAAAAGTTGCTCTTTTTTATAAAAAGTTCAATATTTACATAAATATTTATAATATTTACATATAAGCTGTGCCCACCCATAAATTAGGCCATGCCCATAAATTAGGCCACGCCCACAGAACCGGTTAAGAAATTTGTATCCCACCCCTGCCTCTGTGTGTTTGTGTGTGTGAGAGAGAGAGGGGAGGAGAGAGGTTAGATCAGATCTCTCTCTCTCTCTCTCTCTCTCTCTGTCTCTCTCTCTCTGTCTCTCTCTCTGTCTCTGTCTCTCTCTCTCTCTCTCTCTCTCTGTCTCTCTCTCTCTCTCTCTCTGTCTCTCTCTCTCTCTCTCTCTCTTGTTTCATCAATGTTAATGTTGTAGATGCACAAAAGCCTATGAAAGCTGACATGAATCATTCAGATGAGATGTCTCCAAGGATGTCTCCAAGGATATCTTCAAAGGTCTTTGAGATTAGATTAGAATAGTTTATCTTTTGTGAGTAAAATGAAAGGAATTTGAATATTGCAAACATGAACACAGAACAAATCTACAACAAAATGTTGTCTAACCTTTTTTAACAGTTTGATGAGTTTCTTTCATATATTACAGGGCTATTGTGGCATTAGTATACAATGTGCTGAAGGCATTTATGGAAATGAATAGTGCCATGTTTGATGAGCTCACAGCAACTTACAAGTCAGATCGCCAGCGGTAACTTTTTAAAGCTTTTTGTCAGCTTTGCATAAAACCTGCAGTTTTTGGTTGGTTCCTTCCTTCCTTCCTTCCTTCCTTCCTTCCTTCCTTCCTTCCTTCCTTCCTTCCTTCCTTCCTTCCTTCCTTCCTTCCTTCCTTCCTTCCT